AAAAAAAAAAAAAAAAAAAAAGAATAAAGCAAGGAGCAGAAAGAATATTGTAGAGACTGGTAGGATGTGAGGCCTGTGGAGGGCCTTGATTAAAGAAGTTCAACTTTGTTCTGTAGGCGATAAGGAGAATGACATCATCAGATCTGTGTTGTACGTAGATAAATTACTAAACTGAAAAGTGGAATCACCTGGGAACAGCTGATTTCCTGAGGATGGGTGTTCAGGAAAGCAAGGGACATGACTATTAGATCATTACAGAAGTTCAGGGTAGAGAAGGCAGGATTATTAAATAACTCAGAGAGAGGGTGAATAAAAAGAAGGTATTTGTGTTGTGGTGGTCCACACTGTAATCCCAGCACTCTGGGAGGCTGAGGTAGGAGGCTGAAAAGTTCAAGCCTAGAATGGGCAGTTTAGCAGTTTAGTGAGACGCTGTCTCAAAATTTAAAAAGGACAGGGCTGGGGATTTAGCCTAGTGGTTCCGGCACCTACTTCACAAGTGCAAGGACCTGAGTTTGATCCTTGGCACCAAAAAAAAAAAAAATAATAAAAAAATAAAAAGGACGAGGGATGTGAGGGCACTGAGTTTAATCCCTAGTACCAAAACAAAAGAATAGTTTTAAAAGTCTTGTGGCTGGGGATATAGCTCAGTGGTGCCACATCTGCCTGGTAAGTGCAAGGTCCCCCGAGTTCAGTTCCCAGTACTGAAAAAAACCTAACATCTAAAAGTCTTGTTCAGCAGACAGTGGTGGATGGTTCATCCTGAGTGGATGGTGAAGAAGGAAACACTGGGTTACAGACAGCAAAGGTGGCCACATACAGTTAGGGACTTCCTCTGTAGTCAGCCCTTTGCTTTCGTAATCTCTTCTAACCACACAACAGCCCTATGGGAAGGATTGTATTACTGTTTGCATTTTATGGGTGAGGAAGGTGAAGCCCACAGAAGTCAATCTAAATGATACAGCAGTAGGTGGTGGAGGTAGGGTTTGAGCTCAAAGAAATCAGTGCCCTGACTCACTGTGAGTAGCTCTGCCAGCTGACTGGATTATCAGTGCCAAACAATCAGGAGGTGAGGACTCTAGGGAGTAGTCAAGAAGAGGCAGATTCAGGCCTGGGATCCATTGGAAACACTTTCTCCCAAGAATGCATAATCAGGCTCCTGTGTGCAATATCAGGACACAGATGTGTTATGTTTGGCATTTAGAGTTTTAAAAGCATTTTGAAGGGGCTGGGGATTTAGCTCAGAGGTGCCGCTGCCTGCCTCACAAGCATAAGGACCCAAGTTCGATTGCCGGTACCTTAAAAAAAAGCATTTTGAGAAGTGATTGCTAACTTTATTTTGTTTTTTGAAATATTCTGAGTTTTTTGAGGCAGAGTCTTACTTTGTAGTTCAAGCTGTCCTTGAACTCATAAGTAGCTCAGGCCGGCCTCGCAGCAGTCCTCCTGCCTCAGCCTCTCTGGGATTACAGGTGTGCACCACCACGCATGGCTATATCACTGCTAACTTTTCAAAATTTGAAGATTCAGGGCTGGGGATTTAGCTCAGTGATTCTGCCACCTGCCTGGCAAGCACAAGGACCCGAGTTCAATCCCTGGTACAAAAAAAAAAAAAAAAAAAAAAAAAAAAAAAATCGAAATTTGAAGATTCATATTAAAAACTGCATATCTGGCTCTTTTTGAAAAATGAGATCTGGCCATGCTGGGCACATGCAGCAACCAGGGTTGCTTTTGTTTCCTTCAGCTGGGGCCTGTGCTTCCTGTGGGAGGACCCAGCCAGCCTTTCTGGGAACCCAGCTCACCTCTGTAGAGAGTTGTGCTGCACTCTTGAAGAAATAACTATTTGCCAGCCCTGACTCACACTGAACTTAATGTACAGAAACATTGCCACTCAGCTCAGTCAGACTCCAGGCTGTACTGGAATGCATGTCAACCCTGGGTCTCCATGGCTGGCTAAGTACCTTTTTCAAGTCTTAGGGAATGTAAGGGAGAAATGGCCATGGTTTTCCTGTTTGTTTTTTCCCTTTCTTTGTGGGAATTGAGGAAAACTCAATATGCACCCATGCTTGAGTGCCCACGGGGAGAGGGTTATGAACCATTACTGCAGGACAAATGTAAACCATAGCATTTCCTGAGACCTGCAGAGATGAAAACACAACATATTAAATAGCACCGTGGAAACTGGCAAAAGTAATGCCCTACCACTAATATGCAAATTATATTGCAGGTTTTTTAAAAAGTTACTTTGTGCTGTAATGAATCATTTGCTTGGATTTTGAGCTGTGTACTTTGGATGTGTTATAAGGAAGGGTTACGAGAAAACCTGTGTACAAGGGTGAACCACATCTTACATAGCTTTAAATTTTCTGCAGATATTCAGTTCTGGAAAATGATTAGAAAGTTTTTATGATTTAACTGGGTGTGGTGGTGCATACTATAATCTCAGCACTTGGGAGGCTGGGGCAGGATGACCACTGCAAGTTCGAGGCCAGCCTGAACTATATAGCAAGACCCTGTCTCAAAAAACCAAAGAGTTAAAAAAAGAAATGATGTTTCTGTAATATGAAGTTAAAATATGAGTACCACCCTGGCAAACAAGTATTTGTTCATATCTGAGGTGTTTGTCATTAAATATTTTATTTTATTTTATTGGTACTGGGGATCAAACTCAGGTCCTTGCGCTTGCAAGGTAGGCGGTGGAACCACTGAGCCATATCCCCGGCCCTTGTCATTACATTTTTTTTTTTTTTTTTTGTTT